TATAAGATCATCATATGTTTGTCCACGTGTCTCTAAAAAAGTCTCAAAACAGTTTCAGCTTATCCAAGGTTGTTGGGGCTTTATTTAGTGTAATTGTGCTGCTGAAAAACCCACCAGAAGCAAATGAAGCCTGGTATGTTATTATTCCTGTAATCCAGAGCCCTTTTGGTGACTGTGAACACTTTTTGTTTTTACTCTCACTGGAACAAGCTGCCTCTGATCTTTAATGAATTATACAAAAGAAACATGCATCGAAATCAGGCATTTTAGGTCGCATCAATCCCAAAATAACCCTGTGGCGTCACCATGGAGACCAAACACCTCGTGGAGTTGGTGTGACTCACCTGTATTGCGTCCGTCAGCGTCAGTTTGCGGTGTTTCATCAGGTAGGCGATGCAGACGGTGGCTGAGCGGCTGCGTCCGTTCTTGCAGTAGACGACGCTGCGTCCTCCGCGGTTCGCCTCCTTCTGGATGGCGTCGGCGCAGCGGTCGAAGTGGCTGTAAAGGTCCTCGTTGGGGTCGTCGTAGACGGGGATCTGCAGCTTCTTGATGCCGGCGGTGGGGAACGGCTGCTGCTTGGACACGTTGATGCAGAGCGTCACTGCCTCCTGCTGGATGAGCTCGTCGCTGCAGGCCGAACGGGCGTTGCTGATGAACAGAGCCTTGGTGACTTTACACAGCTGCTGCATCCTGGAAGAACTGACCCTCACGGGCTTCCTTACTCTGAGGTTCAGGCAACTGCGACCTGGTCGGAGAGAGAAGCATGAAAGTGAACTTCAGAAGCCTCTGACTGTATCTAGTGAGGAGTCTTAATGTTGTTAATGTTATGACATCACTTCCTGTTTTTAATCCAACGTACAGGAAGTTGTTCCTTTAAAACTTGCACAAACTTTTCATACAGCTCTTTATCAGGAGGATCCTGATATTCTACTTGTAACCTTTTGGTGATCGGACTCACTGCCCCAAGCTCATTCAGGCTCGGGCCCCTAATTAAATATATTTTAGACACATCACAGTGAAACAATGGGGGGCTGCGTCAGCCAATCAAATCAGTGCAAGAGCACATTTAATTACTCCTGATGAAAGATTAAATAATATCTGATCCTCTTTATTACAAATACAGCACCAGTTCAGTTCTCTCAACAAACACACAAACAAAGAAAAGAGGATTAAATAACAAATATATGTGTATGTGTGTGTGTGTGTGTGTGTGTGTGTATCTATACAGACATTAAAATAAAATGTTATTTATACAACAGTTGGGGTCTTATATACAGATACACACACACACTGATAATGCATGATAACGGTGTCGGACTGCGGTCAGTGAACGCATCACCCTCAACAAGGACAGAGTGACTCACGTGCAGCTGCTGATCAGCCTCGTGCTCTCTTCACACAAACCCTCAGCGCGGGTTTTTGGAGGAAGGAGTTTCCTGTGGAGCCCCTGCAGACTGAGGACGGGGGGTTCAGCTGGATCCGGTCCGTCCAGGTCTCCTCATGACCCCGAACTGATCCGGTCCACACACCGCCGCTTTATCCACTGCACGGAGCCACAGCGGCTCTGCTCCGGGTCCTAGTGCTGGTTGGGTTATGGTGGAAGGATTCATGGGGTTATGTGAAGTAAAAGTAATAATTTAATTTAATTACACACTGTGGAAATGCTGCATTCAACCCTCAAAGGTCCAGAGTGAGACTGTGGAAGTTAATTAAACTATAACCTAATATCAGTCATATGCAGCATTTCTCCAAACTTATTGAACTTATTTAAAT